GGGGAGCCCCGGCCGCCCCCCCCCCCCCCCCAGCAACCGAGCAACCCTCTCTGGGAGTCTCCTGGGGGCGCCAAGGATTCCCGATCAGGATTTCTTAGGAATTCTATGGGCTTCCACCAGAATTCTATAGACCTCCCTGGGAATTCTACAGGCCCCCATCGGATGTCTATAGGCCTCCATGGGAATTCTACAGGCCCCCATGGGAATTCTATACGCCTCCATAGGAATTCGATGGGCCTTCATAGGAATTCTATAGGCCTCCATAGGAATTCTATAGGCCCCCATCGGAATTTTATCGCCCCCCATACAGATTCTATAGGCACCCATATAGGAATTCGATTGGCCTCCATAGGAATTCTATAGGTCCCCATGGGAATTCTATAGGCCTCCATGGGAATTCTATAGGCCTCCGTAGGAATTCTATATAGGTCCCCATAGGAATTCGAATGGCCCCCATACGAATTCCATCGGCCTCCATAGGAATTCTATAGGCCTCCACAGGAATTCTATAGGCACCCATACACATGCTATAGGCGTCCATAGGAATTCTATAGGCCCCCCCCATAGGAATTCTATAGGCGTCCATGCGAATTCTATCTAGGCCTCCATCGGAATTCTATAACCCTCCATACGAATTCTATATAGGCCTCCATCGGAATTCTATAGGCCTTCACCTGAACCTTATAGGCCCTCCATACGGGTTGTATAGGCCTCCTTACGAATTCTATATACCCCCATCGGAATTCTATACGCCACCATAGGAATTCTATATGCCTCGATCGGAATTCCATAGCCCTCCATACGACTTCTATATCCTCCATCGTAATTCTATACGCCTCCATTGGAATTCTATAGGCCTCTATGTGAATTCTGTAGGCCTCCATCGGAATTCTATAGGCCCCCATTGGAATTCCGAAATTGGCGCAGCCGCTGGGGCCTTCGGCGGAGCTCCCCGATGGGGGGCCAAGATCCTCGTGAGGGGTGTGCCGAAATGGGCGCAGCCGCTGGGGCCTTCGGCGGAGCTCCCCGATGGGGGGCCGCGATCCTCGTGAGGGGTGTGCCGAAATGGGCGCAGCCGCTGGGGCCTCGGATCTGTATAGGCTCCTAAACAGTATGTATCGGATCTGTATAGCATCCTATACAGTCTGTATCGGATCTATATAGGACCCTATACAGTCTGTACCGGATCTGTGTAGGATCCTATACAGTCTGTATCGGATCTGTGTAGGATCCTATACAGTTTGTATCGGATCTGTACAGGACCCTATACAGTCTGTATCGGATTTGTATAGGATCTTATACAGTCTGTATCGGATCTGTATAGAATCTTATACAGTCTGTACCCGATCTCTATAGGATCCCATACAATCTGTATCGGATCTGTATGGGGTCCGATTCAGTGTGTATCGGATCTGTACAGGATCCCATACAGTCTGTATCGGATCTGTATGAGTCTTATACAGTCTGTATCGGATCTGTATAGGATCCCATACAGTCTGTATCGGATCTGTGTTGGACCCCATACAATCTGTATCGGATCTGTATATGATCCCATACAGTATGTATCGGATATGTATAGGATCCCATACAGTCTGTATCGGATCTGTATGGGATCTTATACAGTCTGTATCGGATCTGGATAGGATCCCATACCGTCTGTATCGGATCTGTATAGGATTCTAAACAGTATGTATCGGATCTGTATAAGCCCCATACAGTCTGTATCGGATCTCTATAGGGTCCCATACAGTCTGTATCGGATCTGTATAGGATCCCATACAGTTTGTATCGGATCTGTATGGGATCCCATACAGTTTGTACCGGATCTGTACAGGATCCCATACAGTCAGTATCGGATCTCTACAGGATTCCATACAGTGTGTATCGCATCTCTACAGGATTCCATACAGTCAGTATCGGATCTCTACAGGATTCCATACAGTCAGTATCGGATCTCTACAGGATTCCGTACAGTCAGTATCGGATCTGTACAGGATCCTATACAGTCTGTATCGGATCTGTATAGGATCCTATACAGTCTGTATCGGATCTGTACAGGATCCCATACAGTCTGTATCGGATATGCATAGGATCCTATACAGTCAGTATCGGATCTCAACAGGATCCCATACAGTCTGTATCGGATATGTATTGAAGCGGCGGCACGCCGGCGCGCATACGTTTTTCACCCATAGGACCACGTCAAGGTCCGTAAGGGAGCCCAAGGGAGTTCCAGGATTTTTTTGTTTGTTTGGTTGCTGGTTGCTGTTGCTGTTGCTGGGGGGGGGGCAGAATGCGTCCACGGGGCTCTGAGCGCAGCCTTCGCAATAAGGCGAGGGCAGGTCCGGACGGCTAGAGCTCACGGGGCTCTCACGCGCGCCTTTTCCTTGTTGTTGTTGTTGTTGTTGTTGTTGTTGTTGTTGTTGTTGTTGTTGTTGTTGTTGTTGTTGTTGTTGTTGTTGTTTGACGTCGTTTTCCCCGCGACCCGGCCCACGACCCACACACGACCCACCCGCGACCCACCCCGCGACCCACCCGCGACCCACCCGCGACCCACCCGCGACCCACCCCGCGACCCGCCCGCGACCCACCCGCGACCCCCCAACCCACCCTCGACACACCCGCGGCCCGGCCCGCGACCCACCCGCGATCCACCCACATTGCTTCAACGAAAAATCGGCGCCTGCGGCGGGCTCGTTGTATAAATTGTAAAATCTAGGCGTTTGCGGCGGGCTTCTTCAGAGCCTCGCAGACTGCAGGCGTCCCCGCCGCCCCCTCACTGTCATCCGCGACTGCGGGGTGCTACGTATGCGGTGCAATCTTTATGATGGCCTTCGGCCCATCCAGCCGGGTTGTGGGTATGAAGCCTAGTGGGTGTTCGTTGGGCCTCTCGGGGGTCTCTTGGAGGGGGCCGTTTGGGGGCGTTTTTGGGGCATCTTTTGGCCTTTCGGGGGCCTTGGGGCCTCTTGGGCTTCATTAGGGCGCCTCTTGCGGCCTCCTGGGCGCTTCTTGGAGCGGAGAGCTCGGATTTGGGGTTCGTGTTCCCCCTCTTGGGCCCCGTTTGGGGCCGTCTGGGTGCCCTTTGGGGCCGTTTTGGGCGCCTCTTGGGCCGTCTTGGAGCGCTCTCAGGCCGTCTTGGGGCCCTCTTGGAGGCCTCTTGGGCTGTTTTGTCGTGGTTTTGGGGTCCTCTTGGGCCGTCCTGGAGCGTCGGAAAGCCGAAAAGGCGAGAAAACAAACAACCTTCAGACACCTGAGAAAATCATTGGTTTTTGCCTCTTGAGGCCCTCTTGGGAGGCCTCTTGGAGGCCTCTTGGGGCGTCTTGGAGGCCTCTTGGCCATCTTCGGCGTCTTGGGCCGATCTTTGGGCGTCTCGGGACCCTCTTGGGCCAACCTGCAGGCGGCCGCTTGGCCTTCCTGGGTCCGAACAACTCACGCGCCGCCGAGGCCCAGCGGGCACGCGGGAAGACCCAGGACAGAGAGGTAGGAGGCACGACAGGGAACGATCGCGAGCGCCGGGCGCAGCAGCTGGGCACTCGTTGGCAAGGAAGCCCGGGGTGCCCTTAGCCCCCGCCCGCCGGATGCCGGAGCGTATCTCTGCGCCGCCTTGTTGAGAGCCCCCGGGGGGGCACGGTGGCAGCCTCGGGAGATTTGGGAGCGAGGGATGCAGGCCCGTAAAGACTCCTCAGGAGTGAGGGCTGATGAGAAGGAGTGCGCAAGCTTGCCGGGCTGGCTGCCGCTAGCCAAGGGCATGCCCGTGGCTCTGGGTGATCACTTGGATCGGTCGAAGAAGCAGCTTCTGCGGGGTCGCACAGCGACGATACATGGATGGGCGTTGCACAAGGATTGGGCCCAGGACCTGAGGACACGCCCACTCCGTGTCCAACGGCACGGTGGCGGATCTTCTGGGCGGCTTGCAAGCCCGCCGCAGGCGCGGTTTTTTCCACGCAGTCAGAATGGGGCAATCCAGCGGCGGCGACGGGGCGGCCACGGCGACACCATGGCCGCCAGACCGGCCACGCGGCCCAGACGACGGGCGGCGACGAAGCAGCGACGGCGACAGCATAGCCGCCAGACCTGCTACACGGCCCAGTTCCTTCGAGGAGAAGTGAGAACCACTAAGTGCCAGCACTGTTTGGTGAGTTAATGCAGCAATAGATGCAAGATGAAGCGAGAAAGAGGAGGGAGAAGATGCGCGCGCGGAGGAGGCAGAGGACGATGAGGAGAGGCGGGGGCCTGCCAGGAATCGTGCATAAGCATCCCACCCCTTTATCAGGTTTGCGGGGGCGCGCCGACCTGGCGTCAGATCGGGCCGAATGAAAGGGGGGGATAGGGAAAGGGGGGGGTTACGAAATCTGCTTCGTGCAGCTGGTTTCGGCCCCGCCGCCGGGCCCATCCTTCGATACATGGGTGCCTCCCGGCGCCGGGAGGCGCCGGGAAAATCAGCTACGTGAGCTGATTCTCAGACCCCCCTTTTGCTATCCCCCCTTGCGCCCGGCCCGATCAGACCACCCCCAACACCTGCCTCGCCCGCGCCCACGGTGGCAGTTCTTGGCTCCGCCCCCATCCCACGCGGCCCCCTCGGAAAAGGGAGGGGCGTCGCGCGCCGCATCCGCGGGCCCTCCTCCCCCTCCTCCTCCTCCTCCTCCTCCTCCTCCTCCTCCTCCTCTCCTCCCTCCTCCTCCTCTCCTCCTCCTCCTCACCTTTTCCTCCTCCTCTTCCTCCTCCTCCTCCTCCTCCTCTTCCTCCTCCCCCTACTCTTGTCCTCCTCCTCCTTTTCCTCATCCCCTTCCTCCTCCTCCTCCCCTCCTCCTCCTCCTCCTCCTCCTCTTCCTCCTCCCCCTCTATCCTCTCCTCCTCCTCCTCCTCCTCCTCCTCCTCCTCCTGCCTCTCCTCCTCCTCCTCCTCCTCCTCCTCCTCCTCCTCCTCCTCCTCCTCCTCCTCCTCCTCCTCCTCCTCCTCCTCCTCCTCCTTCGCTCCGCAGCGCGTTGTCGGGGGTCCTGCGTTCCGCGGCTGCGGCGGCGCCTGCGCGGCACGGCCCGGACCTCGCGCGCGGGCGTAGGGTCTCGCTCCGCGACCAGCGGGCGGCGCCTCGCTGCGGGATCCGCGCGCTGCGCGCGCGGGCGCGGGCGGGGGCCGCCTGCGCCACGGGGGGTGGCGCCCCGAGGCGACGGAGGGCAGAGCCCGCCTCGCGGTGCGCACGACGGAGTCCAGAGGGGGTCCCCGTGGAGACCCGTCGAGGAGGCCCGATGAAGTGTTCCTAGGATTCCGCGGGGAGGCCTGGGACAAGGGCCTCAGGGCATCCTGGAGAGGCCGTGGGGGTTTTCGGGGAGCTCCTGCGGATTCTTGGTGGCATCCTGCGGGCGCCCGCGAACTCCGGATGGTTCCGCAGGAACTCCCGAGGGGGGGGGGAGGGGGAGGATGAGGCAGGGACAAGAGGTGGGGTATGACGGGATGGGGGGGAAGGGATGGAGCAACGAGAGCGGATCTGGGAGGGAGGAGGCGAAATTGGAGGAGGAGGTAGAAGAAGCGGAGGAGGAGGAAGGAGGAGGAAGATGGAGGAGGAAAAGGGAGGGAGGAGGAGGGAGGGAGGAGGGAGAGGAGGAGACTGGAGGATGGAGGATCGAGGAGGAGGACGAGGACGAGGAGGAGGAGGAGGGTGGAGGAGGTGGAGGTGTTGGAGGAGAAGGAGGAGGAGGAGAGGAGGAGGAGGAGGAAGAGGAGGATGAGGCGGGGAACGAGGGAAACGGACAGGGGAGGAGGAGATGGAGGACTCAACAGCGAGGGGGGGCATGAGGCAGCAGCAGCGCGCGCCGCGCCCTGCGACGCAGGCGAGCAGGCTGCTCTTCGAGGCCGACCCGCGCCCCGCGGCGGAGCCGCGCGCCCCGCGGGGGCTGAGGAGCCCCCGCTGGGGCCCAGGGGTCCGCGCATCCTCCTCCTCCTCCTCCTCCTCCTCCTCCATCCCTCCTCCTCCGTTTCCTCCTCCTCCGTCTCCTCCTCCTCCTCCCCTCTCTTTCTTTCCTCCTCCTCCTCCTCCCCCTCCTTCTCCTCCGTCTCCTCCTCCTCTCCTCCTCTCCTCCTCCTCCTCCTCCTTTCCTCTCCCTCCTCCTCCTCCTCCTCCTCCTCCTCCTCCTCCTCCTCCTCCTCCTCCTCCTCCTCCCCTTTGCGATCGCCCCCCTTCGCCTTATCTGGTGATTTGCGCGGCTCGAGCAAAGTATGTCCGCCGCGCGGCCCGTCCAAGTGCGGGGGCCGAGGTGCTCAGTCGAATGTGCAGGGGACTCGCTCCAAAGCCAGGGGGCCCTTTCCCGCAGCCTTGACGTGCTCACCAGTGCCTTGGCTTGACCAGGTCTCCGCGCCCCCACCCCGACCGAAGCGAACCCTTTGCCTTGCCTCCTCCTGCTCCCGTCCTTCGAGTCGGAGATCGAGTACATAATGGGTTTCCCCCAGAATTGATGATGATCGTCGAATCGAGATTTCTGGGCTTACGCCGCACCGCCGGCCCCTTGGGGAACTGGCGGTGGTTGCGTGTTGCCTTGGCGGGCCTCGTGTGCGCGTTGTGGGGGTTTCTTGGAGCTCCGCTGGGGCTTCATATGGGGCCTCTTGGGAGCCTGTTCGGGGCCTCTTGGGCTGAGATTTTCAGCATTCGCCGTGCACGCATGGGGAGTGGGGCGAGAACCCGCGTATCCAGACGGAGGGCATCTGTCAAACACCCGACGAATGATTATCGAAGACGCCTACGGCGAATCACCGCCGCCCCCTGCCTTTTTGGAAGCGCCTATGTGGCCGAACGTTGAGGCCAGACCTGCCAAGCTATCGGACCACGTGTTCCCCGAATCGGTTTGGAAAGCCTTCGGGGAACACGTGGGCATCTTGAAGGTCATCTTGGCCGTCTTGGAGGCCTCTTGGGCAAGCTTTGGGCGATCTTTGGGGCTTTTTGGGCCGTCTCGGGCCAGCTTCGAGCCAACTTCGGCCATCTTGGTGGGTTCCTGGCACGTCTGAAGCCGTCGGAAGCCGTTTGGGGGGCCTCTATGGGCCGACTTGGGGCCCGCTTGGAATGCTCCAGGGCCGTCTTGGAGGCCATCTTGGGCGTCTGGGAGGCCATCTTGGGCGTGTTGGAGGCCTCTTGGGCCCTCTTGGGGCCCTCTAGGGGCCATCTTGGAGGCCACTTGGGCCATCATGGGGCTCTCTTGGGGGCCTCTTGGGCGATCTTGGGGGCTTCTTGGGCCGTCTCGAGCCGTCGGAGAGCCGAAAAGGCGCAAATGCCAGAATCCTTCAAAAACCAAGGAAAAATCAATGATTTTGGCCTCTTCGGACTCTCCTGGAGGACCTCTTGGAGGCCTCTTGGGCCGTCTGGGAGGCCTCTGGGGGGCCTCTTGGGCCGTCTTGGGCCGTCTTGGACTCTCTTGGGCCGTTTTGGAGGCCGTCTTGGACCATCTCGGGCGGACTTGGAGGCCATCTTGGGCCATCTTCGCGATTGTTTGAGGATGTCCCGAGCGAAACGGCCGTTTTTTGGAGGATTGTTTTCCGGATTGAGGTCCTTTCGGCTTCCTCCCGGGACCCCGGCGGGACGTGCCGGAGCCCACTGGGGGAGTTTTTTTGGAAAAAGAACCAAAACCAAAACCTGAAACATCCAGCACGCCGTGCACCCCTGCAAGCAGGGGGCGGCGGATCGAATGACATTCGGCACATCCCGCCACCGTGCTTGGTAGACCACTCGGATGGCTGATAGGGATCTCATGGGTGGCGTCTCGGGTGCGTTTTGGAGGCAGTGATTCCCAACCTTCTTGCGTTGGGTATTCGTGTTGGTTGGAGCACTGCCCGCGCGTCGTTTCCTTGTCCCGCCTCCATCCTCTCACCCTTTCCTGCCGCTCACCTCGCTCCTTCCTGCGTGCCAGCTTGCCTCCATCCCTGGGGGGCTGCGATATGCGAAGCTGTTGCCACTCTCGTGGGCCGCTGTGGGGTCCAGCGGAGTGACGTTTTGCCCCGATTCAAATGAGACCTCGCCATCCAGGTGGGGCTGCGGTCAACGAAACTGTCGCCACTTTAGAGGGTTGCGATGGGGTGCAGCGGAGTGACGCCTTACGCGGACCACCACGAGACCTCGCCATCCGTGTGGGGGGCTGCGATTTGCGAATTCTTTACGCTTCGCGTATCCCCACCAGCCCATCTCAAAACAGCAACTCTTGCGAAGCATGCCGACAGTCGTGTTTTTCAGGCGTGTTTCCGCCTGCCCCCGCATATCTCCCCTGTTCCTCCTTCCTCCCGCCTCCTTGTACATCCTCCTTGTGGTGGGAGCGGGAGAAGGACGAGGCGGAGGAGGAGGGAGAGAAAGCGCTCCTCGTGGTTTGAGTCGTTTGGGGTTTCTTGTCCTGGTGTGAGTCGTTCGGGCCCTTCTTCCTGGTGTGAATCGTTCGGGCTCTTCGTGATGTGAGTCGTTCGGGCTCTTCGTCCTGGTGTGAGTCGTTCGGGCTTCTCGTGGTGTGAGTTGTTCGGGCCCCTCGTCGTCGTGTGAGTCGTTCGGGCCCCTCCTCCTGGTGTGACTCGTTCGGGCTCCTCGTGGTGTGAGTCGTTCGGGGCCCTCGTCGTGGTGTGAGTCGTTTTGGGAGCCTCTTGGAGGCCTTTTGGGGCGTCTTCGGGGCCTCTTGGCGGCCCCAGGGGCTTCTAGGAGCGTCTTGGGTGCCTTGGGGGAGCCTCTTCGGGCCTCTTGGGAGCCTCTTGGAGGCCGGTTGGGGCGTCTTGGGGGCCTCTTGGCGGCTCCAGGGGCTTCCAGGAGCGTCTTGGGTGCCTCGGGGGAGCCTCTTGGGGCCTCTTGGGCGCCTCTTGGGGGCATCTTGGGGGCCTCTTGGAGGCCTCTTGGGGCCTCTTGGGACTCTTTGGGAGGGGTCTGGGAGGAATCTTGGGGCCATCTGTCGGGCGATCGATCACAGATGGGGCGAGCATTTTTCTGCCTCCCCCCGTCGGGGCCAGAATCCTCGTGAGGGGTGTCGAATTTTAGCCCTCCCAGGAGTCGAAAAAGACCCCTCCAACGACCCGCGGGGCGCCTCTCCAGGCCCAGGGGGAGGGGGTAGGGGGAGGGGTAAACCCCTCCCCGAAGGGGAAGAAGGGGGTTGAGAACAGAGCGGTCTCTCTAAACCACTCACGCCCAAAGGGCTGGTGGGATTTATCGCCACGTTCGAGGTCTGTTGGGGGCCCAGCGGAGTAACGGCTTACCCTGATCACCATGAGCCCTCGCCATCTTTGTGGGGTTGCGATATGCGAAATTGTCGCCACGTTCGAAGGTTGATGAGGGCCCAGCGGGGTGACGTCTTACCCAGATTCAGATGGTACCTCGCCATCCCTCGGAAAGGAGTGCGATTTGCGAAACTGGCTATCCCTGAGGGGCTGCGATGTGCGAACCTGTCGCCACTTCAGAGAGCTTCTGTGCGGTGCAGCGGAGCGACGTCTTACCCAGACCACCAAGAGAACCTCGCCATCCCTGAGGGGCTGCGATATGTGAAGTCGTCGCCAATTTCGAGGGCTGCTGGGGGTCCAGCGGAGTGGCGTATTATCCTGACCAGCAGGAGACCTCGCCATCCCTGTGGGGGTGCGATCCGCGAAACTGTCGCCGGGTTCGAGGGTTGCTGGGGGGGGGCAGCAGAGTGATGTCTTACCCTGATCCAGATGAGACCTCGCCATCCCCATGGGGCTGCGATTTGCGAAACTGTCGCCAGTTTCCAGAGCTGCTGGGGGGTCGAGCGGAGTGACGTTTTACCCAGATTCAGATGATACCTCGCCATCGTTGTGGGGCTGCTATCTGCGAAATTCTTTTCATTTTCGAGAGCTGCCGGGGGAGTCCAGCGGAGTGACGGCTTACCCGGATTCAGATGATGCCTCGCCGTCCTTCGGGGGATTGCGATATGCGACATTGTCGCCACTTTCGAGGGATGTTGAGGGTCCAGCGGAGTGACGTATTACCCAGATTCAGATGATACCTCGCAATCCTTGTGGGGGGCTGCGATGTGCGAAGCTGTTGCCACTTTCGTGGGCTGCTGGGGGGGCCCAGCGGAGTGACGTTTTACCCAGATTCAGATGAGACTTCGCCATCCCTGAGGGGCTGCGATCTGCGAAACTGTCGCCGCTTGAAGGGCTGCTGTGGGGTGCAGCGGCGTGACGTCTTGCGCGGACCACCAGGAGACCTCGCCATCCTTCGGGGGGCTGCGATCTGCGAAACTGACGCCACTTGAGAGGGCTGCTGTGGGGTGTAGCGGCGTGACGTCTTGCGCGAACCACCACGAGACCTCGCCATCCCTGGGGTCTAGCGGAGTGTCTCCTTTTTCTGTTACCTGGAAGTTGCTTCGAGTTCCCAGGTCGTCAGAGTCCGGGCAGGGGTGCAGGGATAGATTTTGAGGGGTCCAGAGGAGGCGTCGGAGGAGGAACGGCGTTGGAGGAGGAGGAGGAGGAGGAGGAGGCAGAGGAGGAGGAGGAAGGGGAACACGAGGTGGAGGAAGAGGAGGAGGAGCAGGAGGAGGAGGAACCGGGGGAGGAGGTCGAGCACGCGCTGCCGCGGCGGCGCCAGCGCGGTTCTTGCACTAACTACAAGCAGGTTTAATAATTGTTCCGAGCGCCGCGGCGACGTGGCGCAGGCAGCGCTGCATCTTTAGCGTGCTACCGACAGAGATAACACTCTTAGGCCTCCTCCCGTCACTGTCGTCGTTGTCCTCTGCCCCGTGCCGCCTTCCCTCCTGCTGCTGCCGCGCCGACGGTTCGGCCTCCCGCGCGTGTTGCTCCTGCCCTTTGTTTTTGTTCGCCCCCGTGTCCTCCCCAAGCCTTGGCCTTCGGTCCTCGTCCTTCGGTTGTCGTCTTTCTTGTGAATCGTGCCGCGTGAGCGCAGCCAATACAGCGTGCGCAACAGATAACGGCGCCTGCACTGTCGTTGTCCTGGCAAGTTTGGGCCAGTTCCCCTTGTCACTTGATGCCGAAGCGTTGGGTACGTCACCGGGTAGCGGGCACGCGTGGGGAAACGGGAGAGAGCCCACGTAATTGTGCAGACGGAGAGCATTTGTCCAAATACCCGACGAGTGATCATCGAGTGGCGTTCGGCACATCGCACCGCCGTGCCTGGGTTGCGAGTCTGAGGCCGCTCGGATGGCTGAGGGGGTCTCGTGGGAGGCGGCGCCTCGGAGGCAGCTGTTGGACCTCTGGGGGCCTCTGGGGGGCGCTTGGGTTTTTCTTGCTGCCATCCTTGTGCTCCCCGGGGGCCTGCTGGGGGTCCCCAGGGGCAACCCGGAGGCGTCCTGGGGTGGATGGCTCGAAATGTCCGTTCGGGTTCCCCTTCTGGGCCCCCTCTTGGGGTTGTCTTGGGGTCCTCCTGGGCCGTCCTCGGGTTTTTTTGGGCAGTCTTGGGGCCCTCTTGGGTTTTCTTGGAGCCCTCTTGGTGGCCTCTTGGCCCGTCTTGGGGCGAATGTGAAAGCTTCTTGGGCTGTCTGGGGCGTTGTGAACACCCCAGAGGCAAACGTACAACAAAATTAGACGCTTCCCAAAAGGAATGGGACGATTTTTGCTTTGGGAGGCCCTCTTTGGACGCCTCTTTGGTTTTTTGGGGGTGGATCGATCGTTCGGCGACTCGTGGCCCTCGTGGACCGCTCCAAGGGCCTCTTGGAGCTCTATTGACATGTTTTGGGGCCCTCTACCCCCACCCGGGTGCGTTCACCCAGATCCCAGGGCCCCCCCCCTTCGAATCGACCGGACCAGGGGTCCGGGGGGAGGAGTGACGGGGAAGCATCTTACACGTCGATGATTCCCCAGGGGTCGGCGGATGTCTTTGCGGAGAAAACTCACAATACCCGTATATTTACAACATTCAACGTTCTTGTTTGTCGACTTGACGAAACAACACTGTTGGGGTACGTCGGTTCTCCTACTCAGGTCCTCAGCCTTCCAGACGGAGCTGCGCGCTGGAAGGGTGGTTGGTGAGGACCCTGGCCTCTGACTCGCGTAGTTCGCCCTTGAAGTCGAACCACTCTCGGTCTTCGGCGTTCTCCCTGTCCCCCCCCCATGTTCGTTTTCGTTCCTCCCACCGCCCTTTCCCCCCCCCCTCTCTTCCACTCTTCCTCCTCCTCCTCCTCCTCCTCCTCCTCCTCCTCCTCATCGTCATTATCATCATCATCATCATCCTTGCCCACGTGTTCCTTCGTCCTCCTCACATGCCCTCTTCGACGATGGGGATGGGGTGATGATGCTGCTGCTGCTGCTGCTGATGATGGTGATGATGATGATGATGATGATGATGATGATGATGATGATGATGATACCGATGTTGGTGGTAGTAGTGGGGATGAGGACAAGGATGAGGATGAGGATGGGGATGGAGATGATGTGGATGACGATGATGATGATGACGATGATGACGATGATGATGGTGATGCTGCTGCTGCTGATGATGATGATGATGATCATGATGATGATGATAGTGGTGCTGATGGTGATGGTGAGGACCATGATGATGGTGGTGATGAGCATGATGAAGATGAGGGTGAGGATTAGGACCAGTGTAAGCCCAAGAGTCATCAATTATGTTGGGGTAAACCCTCCCTCCAAGCTCCCTCTTCATAGGCCCCTACAACGGTTCATATCAATTGAGGGAATTGGCCCCGATTGAAGACACTCGTTTGAAGACCCTGAAGCATGCCAAAACATTTTTCTCGGGATTCCAACGCCACGGATCACATTGGCTGTTGCGTTTTGATGATCCTGAATCGTGCCAGAACGCTGTTCTTGGGACTTCACGCCGCGAACCAAAGTGATTGTTGCACCCGTAAAATCCAGAATCCTTCCAACATGCAGTTTTTGGTATCTGATGTTGGGAATATGTCAGACTCTTGCACATGTTATCAGCGAATGTGCGCGGCGCTAAGGCGGGAGCCACATTTCGAAACCGAACCGCCCTCAATGTGTGAAACGAGTGTAAATGTTTAAAACGAATGTGCGCGGCGTTACGGCGGGAGCCACATTTTAGAAACGGGTGGCCTTCAATCCGTGAAACTCTTGCAAATGTTTAAACGAATCTGCGCGGCGCTCCAGCGAGAGCCGCATTTTGAAAACCACCCGCCCTCCATATATGAAACGGTTGCCAATGTCCAAGTTTCAGGGTCATACATGGTGAGGAAGTCTAAGGCGAAGCGCCCGGCCCGCCCTAAAAACTGGCCTCTATAAGGAACAGGAAATGATGATGATTATGGTACTGCTAATCATGATGGTGATGGTGATGATGCTAATGATGTTGATGATGATGTTGTCGTCGCTGCTGATGATTTTGCCGATGATGATGCTGCTGATGCTGCTGATGATGATGGTGGTGATGATATTGATGCACTTGGTGATGATGGTGATGGTGCTATGATGTTGATGATTCTGATGATGCTGATGCTGCTGCTGATGATGATGATGATGACGATGATGACGAGGATGATGGTTCTGATGCTGATGCTGATGCTGCTGCTGATGATGATGAAGACGACGATGATGATGTTGATCATGATGATGGTGATGATGTAGAATGGTGATGGTGATGCTGATGCTGATGATGATGATGATGATGATCACGATGCTGATGGTGGTGGTGAGGATGATGATGATGATGATGGTGATGCTGATGGTGATTGTGATGGTGATGATGATGATGATGATGATGATGATGATGATGATGATGATGATGATGATGATGATGATGATGATGATGATGATGATGATGATGATGATGATTGATGTGATGTCATGTTGGTGCTGATACTGCTGCTGCTGAGGAGGAGGTGAAGGAAGAGGAGAGGGAGGAGGAGGAACAGGATGGGGGAAGGGAAGACGAAAGTGAGAAAAGGAGGGAGGAGGAGGGAGGAGGAGGTGGACGAGAAAGAGGAGGCGGGCAGGAGGGAGGTGAACGACGGGAAGGGGGGGAGGTGGACGAGGCGGGAAGAGGAGGTGGAGGAGGAGGAGGAGGAGGAGGAGGAGGAGGAGGAGGTGGAGGTGGAAATGGAGGTGGGGGAGGAGGATATTGCCTTCCTGCCCCACTGCAGCCCCCGTTCTGCCAGGGAAATGGGGAAGAGCCTCCTCGACTATTACTTCCTGCGTGCGCCCTCCGCTCGGCAGTACGCCTCCTCCTCGCCTCCATTCCCTCCGACCTCCCCTTACCCTTCACTAGCCCTGTTGCGTTCCCCAGTTCCCTCCTGGTCTCCCCGCCTCTCCGTTCTCCTGTTCCCCTCGCCGTGGGGGAAGAGAGGGGCGCGCGGCGGATGAGATGTGGACGAAAATGAGGAGGGAGAGAAGGATAATAAGGACAACGATACTGGGACGAGGAGGAGGAGGAGGAGGAGGAGGAGGAGGAAGAAGAGGATGTGGACGATCAGGAGGAGGTGGGAGGGAAGATGGGGCAGGATGAGGATGAGAATGAGGATGAGCATGAGCATGAGGAGGAGGAGGAGTAGGAGGAGGAGGAGGGGGAGGAGGAGGAGGGGGAGGGTAATGGGGAGGGGAAGTCGAGGAATGGGGAGGGGGAGAACGGGGGAGAGCGAGCGGAGGCGGAGGAGAGGCGGAGGCTCCCGCTTCCCCCCCCTACCCCTTCCTCCCTCCTCCCCCCCCCCGCGCACTCTGCCAGACCAGGCGGCTCTCCTCCCGCTCCCCCGCGGTGCTCCTGCGGCGCGGCGCCCTTGCTGGCAGCTCGGCCAACACCACCGCCTCGGCGACTCGACCCCCGGCGGCGGCGGCGGCCACGACCGCGACCGCAGCGGCGAGGAAGACGATGGAGCCCCTCTGCGCGCGGCGTCGGCAGGAGCATCTACGTGGCCGGGGTCGAGGGCACCGGGCACCACGGCCTCGGACCCATGCTGCTGTACCCGGCGGTGCGCCGGCGCCCCTGGCTCTCTGACCAGGGGGGGGGGGATGGGGCCGAGGGGGAGAGGAAGCAAGAAGAGGAGGAGGAGGAGGAGGAGGAGGAGGAGGGGGAGGAGGAGGACGAGGAGGAGGGGGAGGAGGAGGAGAAGGAGGAGGAGGAGTAGGAGGAGAAAGAGGAGGAGGAGGAAGAGGAGGAGATGGAGATGGAGATGGTGATGGAGATCGAGGAAGGAGTGGGAGAGGGGGAGGGATAGGTGGGGGCAGGAGGAGGGCGAGCAGGATAGTGAAGGGCAGGAGGAGGAAGTGCAGGAGGAGAAGGAGAATGAGAGAGGCGAGAGAACAACGATGAGGAGGAGGAGAGTGGGACGGAGGTGGAGGAAGAGGGAGGAGGAAAGGGAGGAGGAGGAGGAGAAGGAGAAGGAGGAGGTGGAGGAAGATGAGGAAGAGGAGGTGGAGGAAGATGAGGAAGAGGAGAGGAGGAAGCAGAGGAGGAGGAGCAGGAGGAGGTGGAAGATCATGGGGATGAGGGACCAGGAGGAGGACGATGCTCGATTTGAGCGGGCGGCGGTGTGGTCGATCCGGTCACACTTCGGTGGGAGGCGGGGAAGGAGTAGGAGGAGAGTGAGGAGTACTTGGGATGAGAATGAGGGAGAGGAGAGTGAGGAGGGCAGGGAGGGAAGGACGATGAAGGGGGGGAGAGGAGCAGCAGCAGGAGCAGCAGCAGAAGCAGGACGAGGAGGAACGATGGGCATGGAGGACGCCTTCTGTGGATGGTGGGCGGAAGTGTTGCGGGATTGTTTTGATATGTGGTCGGCTCGAGTTTATCAGCGGGTGCCAGGCTCGGCTTCCAGCCATAACGCCCACAGGGGTAGACCTTCGCGGCCGAAGCCAGGAGGGCGTAGCCCGACTGACAAGCACATCGAAGATGCAAGCAATCAGAGGTCCGCGCCCACATCCGCAAGCTTATGCTCATGCCGCCCTTGCTTCCGATTCTGGCATGCACAACGCCACACCAGACACATCTGAAGGAATCGAACTGAGGCCCTCACCCTCCCGGGGAGCGAATCGGCGTCGACACGTCCCTCGACACGTCGTCGACAGGATAGCCCCCCCCCCCCCCAGGATAGTAAGGACCTCAAAGGGGGCGCGAGCTGTGGACGTCGAGCAAGGGGGGGGTGGAGCGAACTGGGGGAGCCTCCCGGCCCCCGCCCTCTGGGGCCCGGAGGAAGGGGCGCGAGAGGTGCACGTACCGTCGGGGCCCTGAAGAAGGAACCCTTCTCGCTGGGGAGGGGCTCGGTGCTCCTTGAATGTTTCAAAGTTTGCCTCGGGTTTTCCTGAGGTTTTCCATAGGAAATCGAGGTTGAGCTTATGGAAAAAAAGGGGCCTCGTTCCTTATTTAGGGTTCCTTAGGTCAACGCCCCGACTGCACCTTCGCCCCCCCAGGCGTGGAGGTGGATCCGTGCGCCGCTCGCGAGGCCCTGCCCAGGCGCGGCGGTGGCGCGCCCCCTGCGTGCCAGCGGCCGCGCGGCGTCCGACGCCGACGAGCAGCTTTCGAGCTTCCTCGGGCGGGCGGGCCTCGGGCTGCAGCGGCGCGTGCAGGCGCCGCCCGAGGATGCCGCCTACCTCTTCGCGCACGCGGGCGCGGGCGGCAACAGCGGCGTCTCTGGCCAGCGGATGGTCCGCAGCGGGGAGGAGGAGCCTGGCAGCGGTCCGGCAGCGGCCCGGCAGCGGCCGCCCCTTGCGGCGCCGCAGCCCTCCGGCTCGGCCTCTGCTGCCGGGCATCTGCACACTTCAACTTCCCCCCCTGCTCGAAGAACAAAATTAGGCACAGGCATTATTTCTCGGAGTTCCCCGCGGACTTCTTCGATCTGCGCTGGGCCCCCTGGCGGCACCTCCGGCACCGCCTCCGGCGCCGCCTTCGGCGCGCTCCGCGCCCCAGAGCATGCAGTTGTTTGTTCCTCCAACTGCTCCCTCATGTCCTTCTCTCTTCGCCCTCCTCTGCTCAGCCACGCGCAGAGGGGGATAGGGGGGAGGGGGTAAGGCTTCTTAGAAGCACCCCTGCTTCTAAGAAGGCGCGGGCCTTGTCTGTAGATGTAGGGCCGGCGCCTTTCAAGAAGCAGGGGTGTTTCTAAGAAGCATTCGCCCCTCCCCCTTATCTTTTTTTTGCGCGCCGCCAAGTCGTCCTCTCTTCACCCTCCTCTGCATCGCACGGCTCGCTTGAGCGCGACGTCGATGGGGGAAGCGAGTCAAGGGGGCCAGGCAGTACGACGGAGCGCCAGCTCCGACAGCGGGTGGGCCTTCTGTGGCGACGGGGCCTCAGACTGCTCCCTGTGCTGGTCCGTTCTAGTGCCACCGCCCTTGCGACCACTAACCATTCCATGCCTCTGTCTCCCATGTCCCCTCCACCTCTGCCTCCTCTCAGGAGGGGAAAAACACACACACACACAGGCACAATTCATCGTCGACTCCCTGGAAAATATGGGAAGTGGGGGGGAGACGAGCACCCAGAAAATGTAGGAATTCCCTGAGTAATCCAAGGATTTGTGTGTATTTATTTGTGTGTCCCGGGGCCCCTTGATCCTCCCCCTCGCGAGGGGGGGGAGGGGGGGCGGGGCCCGCGCCAGGTCTGCAGGTACGGCCC